AGGCAGGCGGAGGCAGGCGGAGGCAGGCGGAGGCAGGCGGAGGCAGGCGGAGGCAGGCGGAGGCAGGCGGAGGCAGGCGGAGGCAGGCGAGGCAGGTGGTTCCGACGGTCCGGTGGTCCAAGAGAAGTTGGCACGGCCGTGAGAGAATGTGTGTTAGATAAGTTATATTGAGCAGATGATCGACGACTTTTGACTACGTTCTCGGTGTGCGAGAAAAAGTGGTCATGTAGAAAGGCCTATTCCTTCCAATGGGTAGAGGTTGGCAGTTTCCAAGAGAAGGTCCTGGCTTACCATCATCAGCCATGAGTGGCCATAACTGTGAAACGGATGTACCAAAGGAAGGCTCTTTTGTGAACCAGTCGCTTCTTGTCGACCAAGGCATTGGCATCGCCGCAGACGTGCCTTGCCTTTTTTGTGGTGTGCTACCAAGACTGGGCAGCTTCTCGTTTTTTTGGGTTGGAAAAAGGGGCCTCATGAACAAATAACATGTTTCACCACGAAGAGAGGGACCACCAGGCAAGAGTTGTTCACCCTTGACTGGAACACTTTGATACAATTTGATGCCTGCCACTTATATACGTCCATTCCGAAACGACGTGTGAGACATGATCACAAAGTCCGATCTGAGCTCCTCTTTACAATTGGCTGGAAAAAAAGAACGTTGGAAAAACGCGTTTCCAACCTCGAAATATCGGTAGACACAGTCCAGGAAGGATGCCGTTCTGTAATCCAATAGTTGCTCTTCGTGTTTGAGTTTTGATGTTGATTCTTTTTGTGTGGACAGATTTTTCAGGCCTCAAGCGACAGAATTGAGGCACTGAAGGCTTCTCTCCTTGCCACTATGACCCACAGGCTGGCGAGATGTTTCAACTGTTGCAGCCTAGGCATTCTGTACCCCCAGCAATCCCGACAAGGATTGCCATTCTGAAGTAGATACCAGCTGGGACCTTGCGAAGTCCGAACGACACATGATGGGTCTCTTGGATTGCCCCATGATTCTGCAGATATCGACAGTGAATTCTTAGAGGATCTCCTTTTGTATCACCGATGCTGCTTGTTTTATTGTTTGCGTGAAGGGGGTCTTCATCCAGTTGTCAGGAATGCGACCAGCTGCGTTTTCTTGGCTAACACCCACATGTCATCAGTATGTTTTTGTGAATTCATTGAATATTACATTTGCTGTTAAGCCTGTTGTACCTACTGCTAGAGAGCATCTAAGCTTGAATTAACAGTCGCACTTGCAGCAGGTCTGTCCTTTGGTTCATTGCTTGTCCTGCTCATCTGATCTCATGTTCCTCCCCCTTTGTGTTTTCCGCTGCATCACTGCCTCACTCTTACCTGTCTGAGAAGAAGCATCAGAGGCAATTTCATCCGCTCATCATTGTTCTCAGTAAGGTGAGATCGCTTCGCGTAAAAGCATTGATTGCCAATGGATGACATCGGAATGCACGACGCGAACTCGCGAGAGTGCTATGCACGCGTGCCACATTGTTGGGCTTGAGCACTTCAAGGAATGAGGAAGTCCACTTTTGTGAAGCACTGCTTTCATCAAAGCGTGCTCATCTCAAATAGGTTCTTCCTCGCTCTCTCTCTCTCTCTCTCTTTCTTTTACAAACACAAACTCTTCTCCATTGGAACCGTTGAATTGAAAGGATGCGACATCACTCCGACCATCACCATCTCTCTCCGCACTCTGAGTATCTGAGTATCCCGAGGGAAACAACCACGCAGATGAAGTTGAAGACCACGAATCATGTGGCGAGCGGATGGATAGCATTATTGGAATATTAAGTATACATGAACAAATCTAAGAAAACCATGTTGAAACTCAGCAAGCGAAAGAACCTCCAGCAAAATACCAACAAACATCTTAATTCCCAACAACGAACAAGTTGGCACGGTGGGTTCGCAATTTTTTACGATTGGGAACTCTGCAAGTTGCTTGTCCAAAGGGGTTGTGCCATTGAATTTTGCACACCTGCAACATCACCCTTTTTGAGGCTTGAACATGGATGAGCTTCATTCTGGCCATTTCCATGCATGTTTTGAGCTCCATGCCTGTTGCTACTGCAAGCACTAGCTACTTCGAGTCACATCGGCTCAGGACGCAAGTAGCGAACGCCTAGCGCCATGCTGCCATCCTGCGAGTTCATGCGCATGAGTGCTGAGGTGGAGCATGAGGAGAGCAAAGCGGAGATGGTCCACTCGGACCCAGAAGCTCCCATCGTTGTGAGCATGACTCCCGCTCCGGAGTTCCAGGTGGAATCTTTGCAGCTGCTGCTGCTCGAGCAAGAGCAGCGGATAAAGTTGCATTTCGATCAAAAGATTGAGGAGCTTCAAGAGCACATGGTCAGGACGGCGGCCTTCTCTCCCGACACCTACACTGTAATCTACACAGTTCTGCCAAGCGTAGTTCATTTCTTTTTCATTTTCTTTCCGCTTTTCGTCACGTAGTTCCTCAGGGCGTCACGTCGTTCGGCACAAGCATCTCGGGAGATGTTCTGCGCACCTGCTGCGCCCGCGTGAGTTTCCGCGTGCTGCGCCAGGATGGTGCAAGGACCTACGACGAGCCCAACTGTGCCCCACCACCGGATGCCCCACGAAAGGATGCCTCGGACGAGCAGACGATCGAGTGGACGAGAAAGTGGAGACGCAACTCGGGGAGCCTCATGGGGAGTGCCGAAGAATTTCATTGAGATGGTCCACCGTGTAATGGACTCAGAGGGCTTAAAGCACAGTCCCAGCCAAAAGACCAGCACAGTAGTGAGGAAGTTGAGGTGTGCCTGGTTGCCGGTACTTTGGCACTATTTTGTTGACTTCATTGCTCTGAGCTATGTGATTTTCATCGGCATCAACCTGCAGTTCGGAAGCCATGGCGGTCCATTGGAATGGGCTCTCCCGATTGAAATTCTGTTCTGCAGCGTCATTGGCGTGGACCTCCTCGTGAAGATGTGCACGCAGCAACAGAAGTTCTTCACTGGACCTAGACGGTGGTGGAATTTCTTTGATTCTTTTTGTCTCTTGGTGTTGATTGTGGCGGCCGCCCAAGGCTCTCGTGGCCTGGAGACAGCCTCAGGCTTAGTCCGTGGAGGGCGTGCCCTACGAATCGTGGGGTGCTTCTCGACGGTACAGGAACTGAGGCAGTTTAAACAGCTGCGTGTGATGATTGCATCGATGATCCGGAGCCTGAAGGCCGATGAAAGTAGGGTCGCCGGAAGAAGCCGAAACCTCCCTCTAACACCCACTGTTTCCCAAGCAAAGTGGTCTTCCAAGGAATTCGAGTCCGAGTGCAATATGGTAAAGCCGGTCATTTTCCTCGTGAAATACTGCATTTGTCCAGCATCCTGCATCCCTGTGAAGGTCATGCTTTGGCCTGCTTTGATGGTCTTTGTCTTCAACTATTTTTGTGGGCTGATTTTGACAGAAAGCATGTGGTCAAACTGTCCAAACAGTAGCATACTGTGCGAGAAATTCGGTGACTTGCAATCATCGATGATCACCTTGTACCAAATTCAATACAGCGGAATGCTATGGCACGAGGTTTGGCATGAAATGCAGCACTCCGAGTGGTATGTCCAAGTCTTCTTCATTTGCTCCACTGTCTTCGGGCTGATGGTTGTGGTGAATGCAACCACCAGCTTCATGTGCGGCCTTCAAAGTTATATTTGGAAGAAAGAGCGAGCAACTTTCAGCGATCTGGAGGAGGAGTTGAAGAAGTTCTATGCAAGCTTCAGAGAGATCGATCAAAACCACAACGGAACCATTTCTGAGGTTGAATTCAAGCTTGTAATGGAAAATGAGCAGATGCTTGCACTTCTAGAAGCGCTGGACGTGGATACGTCAGATGCTGTGAAAGTTCCTGGTCTTGGATGTTTAAGCGCGCTTTGTTTGTCTTTGGGGTCAAAACTGATTTGGGCATTCCTGTGTTTGTTGCGAGAAAAGGGTGGTTTGGTGCTACGTTTTGGCATGTCAATCCATGTACAACACAGGTCTTTGAGATCTTGGCCTCCCAAAGCACCGGTGGGATTGAAGTCACCGACTTTCTTCTGGGTTGCTTGCGGCTTCAGAGAGGTACCACAGCTGTGGATATCATCCGCATCCAGATGCAACAAGAATGGGGACACGACGCCCTAGTGAGTATGAGCACAGTGTTACAAAAGACCAGCGCTGACTTTCAGGAAGCGCTGCATTCCCTTTCAATCACGACAACGGCCATGGAGCCGTTGTCGGCGGGGATTTCTGGGGGGGGACCTTCTTTGACGAAGTCATGGACACGGCGACAGAGCATTCATGCAGTTCCAGAGTTGATGGCCTCAAATGATGAGGAGGAGTTGAGGGAAGTGCTTCGTCACAATCAGCGGACGAATCTTGGGAGTGAAGATCGAGCAGTTACAGTGCCTGAGATGCAACAGCTGTTGCAGGAGCTCTTTGGAATGTGCGACGGGTGGAAAGATGCCTTCACAGGCAAAGCAGTGCAAAGTGGAGAAGCCAATTTGTACCAGTTTGCCTATCATTGTATTTTGCCTCGGACGGCTCCCTATGACGGCGTTCTCTTGCAATGGCCAGCATCGATGACAGTCATCCCCGAAGCCGGGCAAGAAGTTTGCCAAAGAAGTGGCCAGATGGAGATGGCACTTCCAGTCGCTCGTGGTAAAGTGCTTCGTGCAGAAAAAGTCGAGGACGTGCACGGCGAGAAGTTGAAGATTTGGATTCGTTTACTGCAAGGACACTGTCTGATAGACACACAAGGATGAACGACCAAAAGCGTATGGCTGATGTTTTGAATGGCTTGGACCCGCCTTTTTCAAGTTGTAGAACCCTTTTTTCAAGGTGGTCGAAAGGTGTGACCCTGTTGACTCCATCTGACCAGGACAGTTCCAACCCATGTGCTCTGAGATCTGGTGTGGAACCAGCGTCCTTCCGGGAGAAGAGATGAGTGTGGTGGCTGAAAAGTCCATCAGCTACAAAGAGCATTTATCAACCAGAGCATGCAAGTCTGAATACTACACCTCTCATTGGTGGGGCGAGCCCGTTCGCTCCTTTGTGCAGTGCTGCCGGAAGCACGCAGAGTTGCGCCGGCTAGAAGAAGGCACTGGGTACTGGGTTTGTGGCTATGCCAATCGCCAGCATGAGCTTGGCTTGGACATCGCAGATGATGTTGTTGCCACGTCTTTCTTCGCAGCCCTCAAAACGTCCAAGGGTCTACTGGTGATTTTGGATGAAAAGGCAACTCCTTTCTCCCGCATCTGGTGCGACTTTGAGCTTTATGCAGCGATCATGAACAAGGCGATGGAGCTCGATATCGCAGCAGCCATTGGCACTGAGAAAACCAGGATTTTGACCACAAACCTTGTCCCTGGCGAGTCTTCTGTTGCAAAAACCAAGCGCGAGCAGGACTTCCCAATTGATCTGTTGGGTCGTGGTCTTGAACTTTGTCTTGAGGAAGGCCATGCGGGTGAAACTTGTTACGAAAGCCAGCCAAGCTAGGCTCCAATTCTATTAGGTCATTAGGTGAACGACGTGAGCTTTAAGGGGTGAGCGCAGAGCCTGGTGGGGAGAGCGAAAAACATATGAAAACATGGGGTCGTCGTTTCATCTACCGCTACGACGGCCAATTGGTGATGCGAGCGACGCCGCAGCGGTTGATATGCATTTTTAGGGGCCAAAGCATGTTCAAGGCCGCGGCGTCTACTATAGGTCGAGGTGGTCGAGGTGGTGCGTTCATGGCCATGTTTTGAGCGTGGAAGCTGGGGAAGCTGCGAAGTGGCACCTAGCACGCCAAGGCCCTAGGAACAAAAAGCTACTAGTAGCAAAGGGCATTGCTAGTAGTAGCTCCTCTCTCCTAGTAACAAGGGCACTACTACTAGTAGCAAGAAGCTACTAGTAGCGATGCACTTGTTACTAGCCCTCAGAAAAGATCTTAAGGAGGAGTTTTCGTTTGTGCCCTGTGGCGCTTTGTTTGAAGGCCGTCTCGGGGCAAAAAGGGCACTTCCGAAAAGCATCTGACGATAAGGCTGTGGACAAAGTAGGGCATGTCAAATGCATCTTTGAACAATTTGAGCGAGTCATGCGAACTGCTGCTTGAGATGAAATTTGGGAGACCTGTGGCAACAAACTCGTAAAGCGCGGAGGTTTTGGCTGTTGCTTGAGATGGACTGTCAATGCAGGTATGGAAAGACCTTAACCTAAGGAGGAGTTGTTGTTGGTGCCCCTCTGCGGTTGGCTTGAAGGCTGTCTCGGGGCACAGGGGCGCTTCCGAAAAGTGGGTTTTAGTGATATGACCTTTGACAAGGCAGGACACGGCTCGTTGCGCTCTGCGTTTGCAAGGACTGACTTTTGACTCCTCACTTCTCAGACTTCAAAAACGTCTTTCTCAAGCCACTTAGACCGGCCCCTCTCAGGCAATGCAACGGTCAAGGAGGACAAGGAACACATCTTCCGAGCCATTGCTGACAACTACGACCTAAGTTCAGAAGAAGGAGAGGCACGGTTGCGCCAGAACTTAGACCGAGCCAACAATACCCTTCGGTCAACCTTGGCAGTTCTTGCTTGGCCCCAGGCCATGCAGAAGAAAGGCTGGATCTCTGATTGCATGAGATGAGCATAAATGGAGGTTTCGTTGAAAGGGGTTCTTTTTTCAAGGATACACTTGAACATGTTTTGGGGCATGATACCCTTCTTGTGTAACCAATGATCCGAGAAAAACCATATGTTTGGTTCTTCCAAGATACACTTCACACCCCAGATGTTGTAGTGAAGCATCAAGTTGTTTCATCTTTGAGTCCGTTTTCGTTGTCCGGTTCGGTCTGGTCGTCCCTGCGACCGCTCGACCGCTCTGATCGGTGATCCTGCTTGAGCCAGCTTGCCACGCAGTAAGTTACCAACAACTTTTGATGGAGCCTTGTTGATGGAAATAATGCTGGAACAGAATTGGCGACTTGCCACAGCTTAATTTATATAAATGAAACTGATGCCAACGTCATTACACCGTACCGTTGTGTTTTGGAATGTGGGCGGATTGTACAGCGCTTGATTTGACATATCACACATTTCCTGGTTGAGGTCGCAAGCTCACTGCTCTCCTGCAATGGATGCCGATAATCCATTTCTTGTCGAACTGTGTTGGATGCATGATGCTGTGGATGTTTTTCTTGTTGAAGGGTTCCTTTGTGAAAAACCCGCGTGCAATGTGTACCCTTGTCTACTGTATCTAGCTTTCTGCCTCTTTATTGGTGACCCGAAAGCCTCAGAATTGACAAAATATGAAAATAAGTCTTTTGGAAACAAGGTGGCCCAAGCGAAAACCAATGGGTTCAGGGAAAAGGCGCAGCCGAAATCGGGCCCCAGAACGGGCGTTCACGAACGCGCTTTTGCGCACCCAATCATCCAACGAAGGGCGAAAACGCGAAGAAACGGTGTGAACAAAACAACCGCAATCTAAGACCGCTAAGAAAAAAGGAACGAACAAGGGTTCCTCAGCGAAGTTATAACGAAGCCAGCTGGGCTACTGGTCAGCTTCTGCCAGCTGGGCGTTGTCGGCTCGATTTCCATCCCCGTCCTGGACGTCGTGCCCGAGTAGATAGCGGGTCCGAAGCCCTTCCAAGGAGTGAATTCGAGATGTCCCCCATATCACATCTTGAGGTACACTGCCATCTACTCTGAAATCGGAACTTTTGAGTTGAAGAATTGCAGGATTTTTTTGTGTCGTCATTCTTTTTTCAGGGCGCCCTGGCATGGACAAGATCTGCAACGCCTTGCGCTCGGACGGTTTCAGAGAGTCCTTAGAGTTGAGCTTGGCGCACGTCGAGGGCTGCGACAATGCTGCGGTGAAGAAGCTGGCGGAATCGTTGCCCAGCTCTTTGAAGAATCTCAAGCTCAGCTTCGAGGGTTGCAGTCATTTAACAGACTCCTCTGTGCAAGCACTGGCGGGACAGGTTTCGCAGCTGAAGTCTCTGGAGATCCTTCACCTGGACTTTGTGGGCTGCGAATACCTGACGGATGCGAGCCTGAAGTCAGTCGGCGACCGTGTCAGCAAGTCGAAACTCATCGAATTAGAACTCCATTTCGCGGGTTGCAAACGTTTGCAAGAAGGTGGCGTCCTTTCATTGCAAGAGAACCTTCCAGAGTCATTGCGACACTTTAAAGCCAATTTCAAAGGCACGCATGTTGACCGAACCTTTGACAATCTGACGCAGTTTAAAGGGTACCAGAAATCCTGGCGTCCCTTCCCTTTTGAATTGACTGCGTAGTGCCATGACACTGTGGCAGCATTTACATAGTTGGCCAAGATGTGTCGGGACCAGTTGATGTCTATTTAGAACCAATTACTATGTGTGTGTATGCCCCACGCAGCCCGCAAAGTGATGACACAGAAACCATCATTCCAGATCTCACGGTGGTCTAACTATGCGACTGCAGATTCGTCGTCGCAAAAAATGGGGCCCCAAATCTGGCAGGGCAGTAGAAGAAGGGATTGCCTTTTGCTGGCCAAACATATACCTAGTTTTGGTGCCAAAAGTTCGACTAAAGAGCAAGATTATCCGTGAGTGCTGGCATAAACGTTTTGCAGCACGCTGCTTGGAAAACGATGAATAATGAGTTGCACATCACTTGCACTGACCCTTCCTTGCCTCCACGCCAGAGCTTCTGTTCGCAAGGTCTTGCGGCCTTCTTTTCTGCGCTGCAGAATCGCTTACTTGATGTAGTCCGATCCAAACCACTGCAGTACAGCAAGCCTGCGCGCAGATGCTTTGGGAGACCAAAGTGTTGAGAATACTGCGTGCTGTAAGGGACCAGAATGCGGAGGCCTGAGCTTGTGCGCTCTAGTAATGACTTCTGACCTTGAAAGCCTGTTGTGGATAGCTGGGCGTGGAAGATGCGCCGGCCAAGGCGCATGGAAATGCGGTGGCGGCTGATGCTTTCTGAAATTCTCCCCTCCCCCCTGGCAGTGGAGTCTTTTATGTGGATGTGACCACCTAGTCTACCCAGCATCCGTGATCTACTGTCTTCTGCGCCCGTGATATGTTGCCTTTTAATTTGAAGCTTTAGTACTTCTCAAGTGTGGCCGACAGGCTGTGACACACCGGGACACCGATTGCCTATGGGAACTGTTGACAGCTCCATATACCCAACCAACGGAGTTCCCGACTCGTGTGCAAAAACAATGACTTCTGGGGCCATGACCGCCTTTCTTGTAAAGTGCCAACGCTTTCGCTCCGCCTGTGCACCACAGTGGATGCTATGACCGGGCGCCATTGAGCCGGCCACTCAGTTTTTGGCAGTGCGCACAAAGGCGTGGCAGTATGCAAACGTAACTGGGGACCAGCCACATTTTCAGAAAAAATGCGTTGCCATGTGCACGGAAGGGGCCATTTCTGTCACCACAAAGCCATTGAACAGTTGGCTTCATCGTGGTGGGCCCTTGTTGCAAACACATGGTTTAAACAAAGACAAAAGGTAGGTTGAAAAATCTTTGTTGTTCATGGCAATTCCTTCTCAACAGACCTTTGGGGCTTTGACTGGCCATGTCCCACATCATGCCACATCAGGCCACATGACGCGCTATCCGAATCCCAAAGGGATGTCAGAGGTCTTTGATCGATGTCCGCAATTCGCCAAAGTTGCGCTTTGCAGTGCCAGTGGAAGCCTCCTGATCATCAATCAAGGAGAGCGTTTGGCAATCTTTTAAAGACGAGTGATGAGCGTCCATGAAAACCAAATCATAGAAGGTGAGAGCTGGATATTTTTCGGGGACCGGACGTCTCCAGTTTAGAGAAATGCCATGTAGACATGCCATGTTGACATGTACCAGTTGTAGAGTGACCTGAAATGTCAAGATCATGTCTAGAGAAAATGCCGTGTAGAC